AACCCACCACCTTAGGTGTATGTGGCTAGTGCCTTAGCCACTTGAGCCACAGGTGCTGAGCCAAACTGAAGAAAATTTAACAGTGGCTGTTTATTTCATGTGGAATATTGTTGTATTACTCTTAATGTTCTATCTTCTGATGTGTATATCAGGAATCCCTTTATTTCCCTTCAATGTCTATCTCTAATTGTGATTGTATACACTATACTTTTCACAAACTGAAATGAAACATTCCTTGAGTTATAGTTCATTCACCCTGTCCTCTCAGTATCCAAGAACACATACTTATGTTGAGTCTATTTCATTATGCCAATATAGTAATTTACATACATTCAATAAAAATCTGTCATACTTTTTATCAAGATAAAGGTAAACAAATCAGTTGTTTTGCCATGACTATACTGGAATGTCATGTTAGGGAATGTATCTCATTTCATCTTGTATGACAAGACTACCATCAAGAAACATGTATAGTTTTTAATCTGTGGAACTAATACTCATAAATGAGTCAGGCCAAAATACCATGAGCCCAGCTTTTATAAGTATATATAATTAGGGCTAATCTCTAAAAAGTTTTTATGATTATAAGGGGAATTATTAGGAAAAATTATACAAAAGAAAAATTAAACAAAAGAATAAAAAAACAGAAAATGATTGCATGACTTTTAGAGTTGACAAGCTCCTCCAAGAACTATTTCATTTTCTAGGAAATATATATTTTTTTTTTGAGACACTCTTGGTGTTTTTTTTGTGCTACTCTTGGTAGAGTGCTATGGCATCATAGCTCACAGCACCCTCAAACTCCTGGGTTCAAGCAATTCTCTTGCCTCAGCTTCCCAAGTAGCTGGGACTACAGGCACCCATCACAATGCCTGACTACTTTTAGAGATGAGTTCTCACTCTGCCTCAGGCTAGTTTCAAATGCATGAGCTCAGGCAATCCACCTACCTCAGCGTCCCAGTGTGCTAGGATTATAGGTGTGAGCCACCACACCCAGCCTGGGAAATATACTTTCATGTGACTCAATATTTACTATTGATTAGGGCCTAGACTTTGTGAAGTAGCCAATTAAGTTGTGATTTTCTTCAGGGAGAGATCCAGATGACTTCTTTCATATAGAAAAAATGACCTCCAAAGTTTTATCTCAAACCTAGAAAACGTATTTCTGTATGCCTTTCCACATGGACTATTACATATCCTCTGTTCCTGTTATTCTTTTTCAAGTGAACTTGGCATCTAACTCCAATAATGAGTTAAATAATAATCATTGACATATGTTCATTCTATATTTGTGTGAAAGCCATGCTTTTAAAAATTATATACTTTTAAAATTATACATTAACACTTCTTAATAGCTTCTCTGATTTCCCTATTCTAATTCAACCTACATACTGCTGTCAATCTGGTCTTCCTAAAAATACTACAATGTCACTAAATTTATTCCTTGCTAAAACCTCCTATCAACAGGATAAATTTTCAAAAGTCATTAGCCTAGTATTCACAGTCCTTCACTGTTAAGCTCCAAGTACCTTTAGCACCTTATCTTCCACATATACTCTCCTTTCACCAAACAAAAATAGGGCATGTATTTTATTTTATTTACCAATTTGTCACATTACAATTTCTTTTGTCACATTAAAATTTGAAAATAAATTTCTCTCTCTTTCCTTTTACACTCTTGGAATTTCTATTCCCTCACATCTGCTCATTTTATATCTGCCAGTAATCTCCTATGGGTGGATGCCTGAACTCTTTTTTATATTATTATTATAAAAGTTAACTCTTCGGGCGGCACCTGTAGCTCAGTGGGTAGGGTGCAGGCCACATATGCTGAGGTTGGCAGGTTTGAACATGGCCCAGACCAATTAAAACAACAATGACAACTACAACAACAAAATAACAGCGAGGCATTGTGGTGGGCACGTGTAGTCCCGGCTACTTGGGAGGCTGAGGCAAGAGAATTGCTTAAGCCCAAGGGTTGGAGGTTGCTATGAGCTGTGATGCCACAGCACTCTACCTAGGGTGACAGCTTAAGACTCTGTCTCAAAAAAAAAATTTTTTTTTTAAATCTAACACATCTTAAATTTGCATGTTGTCCTTGTGCAGGGGCCAAGCTAATCTTTTGTGTGTTCTTCCAATTTTACTATATATGCTGCTAAAGCAAGCACATTAACTCATAACATTTAATAAAAAGATATACTACTGAATAATAAATAGCTGGTCTTTGTCCCAGTTTTTTGGACAGAGCTTTAAAAACCCTTGGAACTCCCAAAGTGAGAGAAGTATGTTTGTTATGCTAGTGTGTTGACTTGTAGTTAGCTTCAAGATGAGGACTGGTCACCAGAAAGATGTCACCATGTGATTAGAGGATTAAGTGATTGGGACTTAGTGCCTGGCTGACCTCCAAGGAGGTGAGGGGGGCTGGAGATCGAATTCAATCACAGCCAATCATTTACTCAATCAATCATGCTTATTAATAAACTTCCAATAAAAACTCTGGACACCAGAGCTCAGTGAAACCTCTGGTTGATGAATATTGAGTATCAGAAAGGTAACTTATCTGAATTCTTTGAGATGAGGGTATATAACCTATGCATTCCCTCCCAAACCTTCATATATATGTCTTGACTGTTCCAGAGATCCATCCTTTGTAATAAAATTAAGCATAAGTGTATTATTTTCTTCAGCTGTTCTAATGAATTACTAAACCTGAAGGGTTATGAAAACCCCAAATTCTTAGCCATGTTAACCACGTGTAGGAGTGGCCTGGGGAAACTCTGGAATTTGTGTCTGGCATCTGAAGTAAGGAGTGGCTTGTGGAGGACTGAGCTTCTAACTGGTGACATGTGCAGGTTAATTCCAAGTGGTTAGTGTCAGAATTATATTGCAATATACTCCAGTTGCGGTTAAAAACACAGCACATATCTAACACTGAATTATATTAGTGGTTTATATTTTATGTATGAGTAAAACATGTCACTCCATTCATCCGCTTCATTGAGACATCTCAGGAATTCTCTCCTACGGAGAATTTTCCCCCTGCTCACAGCTGATGAGAATGAATATGTGACCTAGCCAAGCCAATAAGATTCTGTCTTCTAGGAATGTGTATGGGAATACCAAAATGTCTATCTATTGGCTTGTGGTACCAGAGCAAGAGGTATCTGGCATAGTAAGTAGCCAAAAGATGTTTTATTGAATGAGTAATTGAGAGAAATGTCGATACCTTTGGCACTATCATGGCCATTTCTCTCATGTGCCTGGAAAAGTAGAGAAAATCAATGTGCTGAAAGAGAAAATAATGAAGCATGCTATGGTTTGAGTGTTTGTGTTCCCTCAAAATTCATATGCTACAAGCTAACCACCAATACAATAATATTAAGAGATGGGGATTTTAGGAAGTGATTAAATCATGAAGGCAGAATCCTCAAGAATGGAATTAATGTCCTTACAAAGAGACTCAAGGGAGCTTGTTAACCTCTTCCACCATATGAGGACACATAGAAAGTGCCATCTACAAAGCAGAGAACCCTCACCAGATATTGTATCTGCTGGTACCTTAATCTTGGACTTCTTAGCCTCTAGACATGAGAAATAAATTTCGGTTTCTGTGCCCGTAGCTCAGCAGGTAGGGTTCCAGCCACATACACCAGAGCTGGCGGGTTTGAATCCAGCCCAGGCCTGCCAGACAACAATGACAACTACAACCAAAAAATAGCCAAGAGTTGTGGCAGACACTTGTCAT